TATATATATATACAGTTTAAATGTATTTGGAAGTTGATTGAAGTTCTTTTTTCCATTTTAACTCATTGTAAGTGTGATTTGATTGCAAAAGGTCAGTTTTATTACAAATTAAAGGAGCATCACATGCTTGAAATACAACTATTTCTTATGATTTACAAAAGGTGTCAATAATTCTGTCCAGTCATTTTAGGAGTTCTATGTGGAATGCATCACACTTGGCTTTTTTCAGCTTTTTTGTGTCATTCCAATGCAAACAAAATAAATAAGAATGTACTAATGACTTTGTGATTGCAACAATTTTCTGGGAGAAGTTGTGCATTATCTGAAAGAGATGCAGGGGTGCCGGTATTTTTGGCCATGACTGTATATACTTGGCTGGTGGTTGATTATGAGAGTTAATAATATTTTACCTGCCCTTTGTTTGACAAAATAATCCTGACTCAAGATCTACTTATTAGTTTCTCCTGAAGCTTTTGATTGTATCCCAAGGTCTTCATTAGCAAAAGACTGTCATGGTTTAAAGCGGTCATGATGACCACAAATTCCATCCACGGATGAAGACTGTGAACTGCAGTTAAAAGCTCCTGAAGAAACCTGTAATTTGAGTCAAAGTACTATTTCTCAGATAAAACATGATATTTCATGCTCACTTTCATAATATTTTACAATTACTGCACAGTACACACACAAATAATGCATATTGTAATACACACCTTGCTGTAAACAGTTTTTTTTAAAACTACGTTTTAACAAAAAAATAGTCCCTGTAAAAATGATAACATCTGTTGAAACCATTAGAGGTAAGGAAGAAAATACAGTGATTTGTGTTATGTTGGGTAATCTGACCCTTTAAATCTCATAGGGTGAGAAGAGATGAATGAAACAAGATGTCTGACCTAACTTTCAGGCTTTTCAGGTCTGGCACAGTGAAAGTCTGGCCTGGATTTAGTGGGAAGCCGCCTAGCTGCAGAACTCCATGTTGTGGTTCCCTCTGCAGCTCCACCTGCAGGGCTTCTTCCATGGAGTCCACATCTGACAGCAGCAAGTGTTCAGGGCTGAGCCAGTTCGCCCCGCCCTCGTCTACAGTCAGAGGGTTGGTGACAACCTGAAACAGAATGCATTCACATGTTTTTTATATAGACACATATCGACATGCAAAAAAATGAAATAATGAACTTTTTTCACCTTTGGCGGCTGGTTGTCCACTGGTATCACAGTAATGTTAAAACAAATCCCCGTGACTGTTTTGCCCAGGTGGTTGGTTACAGAGAGAATAAACTGGATGCACTGCAGAGAAGGGCCAATGTCCATGATGGGAGGCATGTAAGCTACCTTCAGGAAGTTCACTGCATGCTAGGGACAAACAAAGGATACATTTTGGATAAGCTAGTCTCCCTGCATGCAGCTATAATGTATTCCTGCATTAAAAATTAAAAGTAGTACCTGTGTGAAGAGCCTCAGAACTGGTGCACTGGCATCTTTAGTGAATTTGGGTATACTGTCCACCAGGAACAGTCGCCCTGCATCAGAACTGCTACTCATCAAAACAATAGCACAATTCAGACTGTTCAAAATACTGTCCCACAATTTTCCACCTTATTTTCCAGACTGTGTTTTCTGGTGGCATGGACACACCAACCTGTGAGGACCAGTGTAGAATGGTAGAGTTGTAACTGTGTACGTCAGCTCACTCTCTGGGGAATCCTGGTCTACAAAGTGAAGGTGCTGTCGTGTTATATGGGCCACTTCTGTTTCTTTGATTACAAGATGTCGACTGGAACCGGGAACCTCTTTGGGCGGTTGATCTGGAACAGGTTCTATATGAACTATCACAACCTGAAAACAACATTACTACATGAATCAAATGCCATGTACAAGTCTGTGATGAATTTTCTTGGCAAAAGAACTTCTCTTAAACCTGTGTTCTCAATGCAGTTTCTGGTTTTAAAATCAGTATTGCATTGGTCATTTCAGTTCTGCATCCAATCAGAGGACAACACTAACTGCAGTTTGCAAACCCTATAACCAAAGGTCTATTAGTATAGTATTACATTAACACATAAAACATTTTGTGACCATACTTTAGCTTGTCCCTAATTAAATAACTTCAGTATATTGTTTCTGTGACCCACTTGAGGCTCTGACAGGTTGGGTGGATCATGGAAATCAGACAGCACCACCTCGAAGGAATCATCAAACACCTTGTTTCCTATGTGTCGATAGTAAACCATGGACTGAGACAGGTCCTTCTGTAGAAAGTGGCTCACAGGATAACCTGGATTAAATTTAAGACAAAAATAATATGAATAAAAATGAAAACAAATTGCAGGTACAGCACTATAAAAAAAATCAAGTCCATTCTCCTGACCTGTGAGCCCTGGTCCTGGGATCTTCATGACCTCTCCTGCCCTTGGGCATCGGGTGATGTTAAAAAGGATGTAGTCATCACTGGAGTCCATGTCAGAAGCCTGGAGGGTGGAGCCTCTCAGCAGAGTCATTTGGCCCTCAGACACCTCCAACAGCATGTTGGTGATGAGGAAGGGAGGGCTGTCGTCCTTTGGGAGGATCTTGATGGGGAACTTGTGCCGTGTCTGATGGTGACCGTCAGTGATGCGAAAAATTATGCAGTCTTTGGTGGAGTCACTGTCGTCATGGTGGTAGCGAACCACGCCTGCCTTGATGTTGCTGACAGTGAACATGAAGCCCTTTCCACCTGGATTTTCAAACAAACATCAAATTAAACATTGTACCTCATACCGGTATTCTGGTATGTGGTCTAGTAGAGGCACCCAGTTTTCTCTGTGATGCTGGTTGTGTTTGTCCAGAACTATGATTCCTAACCTGTGGGAAGTTAATAAGACAGGATTTTTTTTTTACTTGTGCCTGATAAAATATATAAATTTTATTCTGGCATTTATTCCATTTCTTATTGTGCTTTTAATTGTGAAATAATAGATGTTTTTACCTCTGCAGGACACTGAAAATTATTCAAACAAAACCTGCAAAGGGAACATCACTCTTTGATTGAACTGTTTGCAACTTAAAGACACATGTAACCTGGAACAAATGGCTGTGAATAGATATCACTTTAATGTATCACAATCACTTCAGATGTCACATCAGATTTTCTTATATGCTTTCTTACCAAGGGTTAGATGAACTATTATTTAATGATGGACATATTCGTACTGTAAAAGCTACCTCCAGCAAATTAGCTTAGCACAAGGACTAGAAAGAAGGGGTAACAGTTAGCCTGGCTCTGTCCACAGGTAAGAAAATGTCAACCTACAAGTATCTCTAAAAATCATTCATACAAAAATCTGCATGTAAAAACAATAAATCAAAGTTCTGCAGGTAGGTTAGGTTTCTTAGTCCAGATCAGTTGCCCTGCAGCCAGTGGAGGTACAGTAAGTGTATTTCCTCAGAATGTCAAGTGATTTCTTATAAAAACTGCACATACTGTACATGGTCCTAAAACCGTGGTGACATGGTGACCACTCACAGGACTAGCAGTCATGCTAGCCACCCGGGAACACACTAGCATGGCTTACTTTGTCGTGGGCTCTCTGCCTTTCAGCTCCCTCAAAGACCAGTTGACCATGGTTTGCTATTTGGCAAAGTTTGGCAAAGTTCAAGTCAATGTGCATTTTTGGCTGATTTTACTCAGAAATTTTGTTGTTTTAAATATTGGTGTGACTGAACCAGTAGCATGAAAAATGACTTCCAACCTAAGTTGGATGCAATGGCTGTAGATCACCAATTTAATCCAAATATTGCTCAGCCCTAATCATAACTGCTGGTTAGATTTTATAACAGCTGAAGATGCTGTTGTGTACCTCTGACAGTGAGCTGTCCATGCTGCAGGCCGTCGACAGTGATGATGCGAACAGCATTCAGGTTGTCGTTATCCACAATCTGGAGCTGCTCCCATGTTATTGGGCGAGACTGACCTTCTAACAGGCTGAGACCTATGAGAGAATTGTTCATAGGGTCAAAGGTTAGACTACACTTGAGAATACTGTATAAGCCATGCCTTATTCTGAAGGATAACAAAATGATCAGAGTCACAAGCTCTACTGCCAGAGAGTCCAGCTTTTTATAGTCAGAAAATGCACTCAGTGCTGCTCAGGATGCAGCAATGCATGCAATTCACATTTTTTTTACTTACTTCAACTGTGACACTGTCAGATATATGGAAGCACATTAAGGTCAGACCTGTTCAGCAAATTGCAGAACAAAGGGAAAAGGACAACAAAACCTACTAGGACAGGCCACATAAATGTGAGATTTGTACTTTATCAGAAGCATTTGCAAACATTGTGGTCTACTTTTACAAGACAAAAGACTGTTGTGACTATGTGGCTGGTTTTGCATGGCCTAATGTTATGTGAGTACAGTTTGTTTACCCATCTCCGTTAAAGTGCAACACACAGCTGTTTACTGACTGTTTCTGCAACATGCATCCATTCAAATAGGGCTAGGAAGCTACTGCAAAAAAATCTGCAGGGAAAACATTTCAATGAGGAATCATTAGCAGTGCAATCTGGCACACATCAAAAGCACATTAACAACATGCGCTGGCAGGAGAAGCTCAAACTTGTTATAATCATGTGTCAGAAGAAAAACATGCCTATAAGAGCCTTATTTCAAGATAAATACAATGCTAACATACCCATGTTCCAGGACACTCGGGGTGCATTGGTGTCTGCATTCCTTACAGATAGGTGAACAGTCATTGATGGGCTCTTGTTAAAGAAAAAATCATGTACCTCAAATTCAACCTGGATGGGAAGATGAAAATTTCAGGCTCTATTAACTAATCAAAATGATTGTTTGTATAATGTGTCAAGCATAAGGAAGGATTTTACCTCATAATTCCTACGTTGTGTGTGTGAGGAGTTTGGGGGTTGATACCCAATCAGCATTTCATTGAGATCCAGCCATGTGAAGGAGGAGATTGGGTGAGTGTGGTCAGACAGGTGTGTAAGAAAGCCATCTACAGGAGGTTTGGTGATGTTAAAAACCAAAAGCTGTTTGGGAGTTTCCTCATCTTCAGCATCTAGTGTTGCAGTGGAGAGTGGAGTGAGGATGAATTGGTCTACCTCCAAGATAAACATGGACATAAATGATGGTTTGGGAGGCTGGTTAGGCATAGCACCGACTATCCGTATTGGAATCCAGGCCTGTTCAAACTACAGCACAGCATAAAAAGAGAACAAATCCACAATCAAGACTAGTACTTAAAAAGAAATTGAGAAAGAAAAAGACAATTATTGAGGTGACACAGGCAGTAAGTAGCCAGTTTACTTGTACCTGATATGTACTGCTACTCCTGATATCCTTGAGGTCCAGGCTGATTGAGATGTAGTCTACATCTGGAGACGGAGGGTCTATGTGCTGATACCTCAGCCCCATCACCAGGAAGTCATCACAGGGAATTTTGATAAACTTCACTAGCTTCAGACCCTTAAGGCAGTCTTCAGATTTGCACATTGCTCTGGCTTTATTATCTGAAATATAACACAAGCATAAACACATACAAATGTATCTCCTGTAAAATGTAATTTCAAAAGAGTTTTGATTAAATCATATTATGACCACATACAGTATCTTCAGTTATTTCACTATGAGAGTTTGTTAATTATGGAAGAATCTTAATTACATTGATAAAAAAATTCAATACATGCATGTAGCCAGGAGAATTTGAAACCCTGATCTCCTGATCTTCCATCTGTACTGTTTACATACTCATTTTGCACTCCCACGTAGCATATATTCTCTCTGCATTATATTGTTCTTGTTGTATTTTTATTTGAGCACTTCATTTTCTGCTTTAAAGTGCCTTATATTTATGATTTTACTGCCTATTTAGATTTGTGTTATTGCTCATCTACTTTATATTTCACTTGTATTGTGTGGCATTCATGTGGACAGCAAAATAAGAATTTCATTGTACAGGGAAACAGATTTCGTAACTGTGCATATGACAAATAAACACTTTGACCTTTGACCTTGACTATGAGGCAAAAGTCCTGCATTCCCTGTAAAACAGTAATTCAGATGCATTTGGATTAAATCATGTTACTGAGGAATGCAAAGAGCAGTAGACAACACCTGTTAATGCTCTTACATACTGTAGCTCATTATCAGCACCTGGCTGTGTACAGGTAGATGGGTTAAATCTGTTGTTTTGTGTTGGTAGAATGTTTCCTATTCACTTATGGATAATCTGGGGATTGAGCATTTGATATCAGCAGCTGTCAGTCATGCAGTTTTAAAGATTACCTTGCTGCTGGCGTAGCTGGATGAAGCTCTCTGGCTCATCCCCTCTTTTGGTGGCTTTCTCTGGCTCCCCAATCACCAGTTGGCCATGGGCCGGCAGATGGGTGTCATGGCTACTCAGATGAATGGTACACTCCACACTAGACCTCCTCTCATAGTGGAAGGACACCACATTGCCATCAACAGCATTGGAGAGGCCATAGAATTCAGGAACCTCCATGGATTTAGGTCCCAGCTTTATGATGTTGCATTCAGGTTCCATAATATCCACATGGAGAGAAAACACCTCCATGTGTGTGTCTGTCTCTGTGAACCTGGTCAGAAAATATAAGATGATCACCCTGCCACACCAGCGAAAAGAGACCAAAATCTGAAGGCCAAAATCCTATTTCCCATTTGAATGATATCTACATTAGGGTTGCAGCGGTGTACTGGTTTCATGGTATACCATGGTATAAAAACTGATGGTTTTCGTACCATGCACATTTGCATATTACTGTTATTGAAAAAAAAAATCTGACCACCTATCAGATTCCACGCATGCACATGCAGTAGAAAAATGGCAGAGAGGAGGCTGATTTCACCAAACTTCTTCCACCAAAAGGAAATTAAAGTCAGCAGTGTGGGATTACTTTGGATATAACAAAACGAACACTTTCGAAAACACCATCTCTCTGTACAGGTCAAAGTGTGTGTCCCGTTTATAACTTTAATCCCAAAATATAAAGAGTGTGAGCGTATAAACATCAGTCATAAAAATCGCTCTTGGAATAATTTTCCACATTGTTCGTTCGCTAACCTCTGACTTATAAAAGGACTCACACTGATTCGCTGCAGCTCAGCTCAATCAACAGGCACCGATACTTACAATAAATAAACACCCTCTGTTTTCATTCCTTTGAGAATCATTGTAGCTGATAATAATAGTAAATGTGTAATACCATGAAAATCTCATACCATTGCAACCTTAATACTGATGTGTTACCTGTAGAGTCGCAGCTTGACAGTGTCCTCCTTTAGCAATGGACAACCGTTATGGACATACTTCACTTCATCAGCCAGATAGTGGCAATCAAATACCTGAACAAAGAAAATGTGTAAAACTACATTTGCTTTTCCTGCTATTGAGAGTGTGTTTAGTTGCACTGTATAGATGTAAGTTTTCATTTGATAGCACAAAAATATTATTTCCTTTTAAATATTACATAATCTGTTTTAACAGCATTAAGTGTTTATAGTAACTGCCCACTGTTGAGTGAAAGCCAAAATCTGATTTTAATCTACATTAAAATCGATGTATATCACTTATGTGTCTACACTATGTCTTAGCATGACAAAAGAACATGCTAACAGATTTAATATTATACAGTATTTAAACTCTGTCTGAGTATCTGCCAAGCAGCTACGGTATACCAAATCAAGAACTAAAATAGGTGGTGCAGTTGTTAGCACTGTCACCTCATAGCAAGAAGGTTCCGGGTACAACCACGGCTGACCCAAGACCTTTCTGTGTGGAATTTACATGTTCTCCCTGTGCCGGTGTGGGTTCTTTCTGGGTACTCCGGCTTCCTCCCACAGTCCAAAGACATGCAACTTAGGCTGACTGGTGACAGTATGTAATTGTAATGCATACCATCAAAGTATATAACTTGGTTTTACTACACATGTTAAATTGTCTTCATTGGAAGTGAATTTTTCCGTTACCTGAGGCATAAGTTTTCCCACTCTTTGAGTTATGGGCTCATTTAACACCACCTCCACCTTGCATGCATCCTTCTGATGGGGAATATGGAACTGCAGGTCACCCTCTTGAAGGTAAGCTGTCTGACCCCGTTTCACCTTTAGACCCTTATTGATTTTCACAAGTGAACTCTGCGATGAGGAGCTCATTCCCAGCAGATGCCCCAGAAGTACAGTCCATGCCAGCATTTGACCCTGTGAACCCATCGCTCTCAGTCACAAGCCCAGATCCCGTAGTGTCTTCATGGGCTCAAAACAAAAGCAGGACTGCTTTCAGAAACACACTTCAGTATGAGACTTTAGTAAGCCACAGGATGTCTTTCTTCTTTAGTAGAAGTTGTATTTTCTTCTGGTTGTTTGATGATTCAGCTGCATGTAGATCATGTGAGCTTCTGCCAGTTCATAAAATTGGTCAGGTGCTGTAAAGAAATTAAAATGACTCAGTCTTTGGCATTTGGCAAGAAATACCTATTATTCATTTCTGTAATACTGTAGAAATGTTAAGTTGTCCTGAAGTGTAAAGCACAACATTTCACAAAGCAAATTAACAAAAACAACTGCAACACTACAGAGAACAGAATGAGAATGGGTACAAATACTGCATTTCATAAAAACAATTCAAGCTACATTCATTAATTAGATTGGCCATGCTAAAGCACTGGCTAAAAATCAGTTTAAGCAGCAGAACTTGAAAAAAAAAAGAACCAAATGTAAGTTTTTGTAGTGACAACAAAACATATGACAACAACATAAATGCAGTTGTGGACTGATAGTAAGAGACTATTTGCTTTGTTATCCTGAAATAGGGGACAGAGGTAAACCTAAGTTTAAACTCCAGGCAAAAGAGTATTCTAATTCTTTTACTACCAATTATGTACTCCATTCCTACATTGTGATGAGATAAATAGTTAATGTAGAAGTACTGCAGAATCAGTAGTCTGCTAATAAGACTTAGTGTACCAGCTTTTGTGCATGAATCCCCTTAAAATCGTAAAATGATATTTCACAGGGGTCTCTGAAATGTGCAAAGTTATTTTCTATTTAGCTACAAAATACAGTTTATTTGTTTTTAAAATATTATGCAATAAATATACACTCACTGGCCACTTTTTAGGCACACATGTACAGTTGTGTGCAATTCAATGCAACACTTCCACCTTAACATCTGTGTTTATGAAACTCAAAATGTTTCAGTTTTTGGTGAACTTGTCATAAATGTATAAATTCAATTATATGTTTATTATTGAGGTTAAAATTAAAGGTGGTGTTGTACTGGACTACATTATATTTAGAGGTGTTCTTAATATCCTGGCCCTCTCATAAATGTAGCTAGGGAGGACAAAAATATTGAGACACCTGAACTGAGCAGTGGAATTGTACTGTGCTGACTAATCAGCAGAAACATGGCCTCATCTTAAGTGCAGTGGGAAACAACTTGCCCGTCACATTTATATATAAATGCCGACCCAAATGCAAAGACAGACAGGCAAAAGGGTTTAGGCGTTTATTATGGGGTTTGGTGCTTGCAGTGGTTAAGCTTTACCGTCAGAGGGCACCCTGGGACTATAACCTGATCCAGAGAAAGCAAACTCTGTGCAGATGTGGGCGGAGACTCTGGACACCTGGCAGGCTGAGGCTCAGGTGTTGGCAAGGTCACCTGCTCTGGGTGGCCGGGCTTGGACAACAGTTCTACCAGTTTAGGTACAGGCACTAGTTCTGGGTCAGGTTCAAAATGAGTTCCTGAACAGCCAGACGGCTTAGGCACAGAAAAGCAGGTGCTTGAGGCCCTGAATCACTGCTCATCAGGGCCAAAAAGAAATGCAGCACACTCGGTGTCAGCAAAGTCAACCAACATAAGATCAAATCCTCCTCAGGCTTGAGCTGCTGTTGCTCAGGTGACCTGGGTACAGACTGGACAGGGGGCCCTGGTGCAGTGACAGACAGAGGAAGACCTTGGCTGTGCTGCGTGGATGGGCTGGGACACATTGCTGGTGACATGAGGCAGCCCTAGATACTGGAGCAGACTGAATTATTCAACAGATTTTTAGACAGCAAAAGAAAAATCCAACAGCATCATCCAGACTTAACAGCAGTTTCTGAGCCTAGTGAATTCAGAACACATACTGTATACTGGACCTTTGAATTAATGATCTTATGGGTTACAGCAGATATGATTCCCAACTTGGCAAGTGTAGCGCATCTCTGGTAATACTGCAGTAAACTGTATAAGTCATTTTGTGTCTCCTGAAAAGCTTTTCAAAAGGCAGGCTGTTGGCTGGGTCCATTTTTGGTTTGCAGGTCAAAGGTAGAGAACGAGGCATTGGCAGAGTGGCACGTAAGACGGCAACTTGCAGAGGAGTTGGCACATCATACAGGTAAGTAGACAGGTAAGTTTAACAAGCTGATTCTTGCAGTAGGTGACAGCCCACACAGGTGAGTAAGATCTTAACAGAGACCACTTAGGAAACAAGATGACAAGTATGTAGCATAAGCAGAAAGAAGAGAGGACACCAGCAGGTCAGTTCCTCTTTAGTGTGCGCACATCAAAAAACTGAAGAATTGAGCTTAGTCAAAAGCTGAATCTTCAAAATCCACACTCTAAATGATGAAACACTCAGAACCTTATCACTCTGTATCAAATCCTAAAGAGTAGGCCACGAGATGGGCAGAGGTCATATTTCAGCAGAATAAACAACAGAATTGGAAATCCACATGGCTGGGGCAGATTGTGTGGTTAGAGGCAAAGAACCAGGTCAGGAGGTCTCAGGTACAGAAGATTCAAGATTTTTATTAGCCATTTATGCATAAACACACAGTCTAGGCATATAAGAATTCTTGTGCAGGGCTCTCCTGGAGTCAAGTAAAGAGTTTAAAGCCAAAAGGACAAACACCTAGTCTAAATGTAAGATCACCCAAGAATACAAAATAATTTATAAAATTGTGATACAGGAATAAGATAACAGGTAAAATTGAGAGTTTCAGATATTGCACATGGTATTGTACATAGTGTATATGGTATTCTACTTAGTAGGGTAATGAGGGGTTAGTGCACAGGTTTTTCACATTTTGTATTGAAGAAGAGTAACACACAGGGCTAATTGTAATCTTGCATTGACTGCAAGGGCAAGGCAGGTTAAATAGGCAATAACAAGCCACAGGCGAAAGCATGAGCTACAGTATGTAAAGCTGAGGCAAGTAAAGAGGCATAAGGCAAAAATACACCACTTCTAGACCTCACTGAGCATGTTGTATGACATTTGTTAAATCTATACACAAACATAAATGTAAAAATTACCACCAACTGATCTGTTGTTTACAGAGGTTAAAGATATCAGCATCTTCCTACCAGAACACAAAAGCCAACATAAAGGGTCTTAGTAAGGTGCTGGGCTGCTACCTGCTGCTAGAGCAACTTCAGCGCAGCCTGGCTTTGATTTTGTGGAACTCTACTGGAGGGATGAATGTAATTCCTCCGACAGATATTCCCTCATGTGGTGGTCTGATGATGGTGGTGGAGACACTGTCTAACATGTCGCTCCAACATCTCCCATAGGCGTTTAACTGGGTTGAGATGTGGTGACTGTGAAGGCCACAGCATATGATTCGCATCATGTTCATACTCATCAAGCCATTCAGTGAATCCTGGTGTCCTGTGGATGGGAGCGCTGTCATCCTGGAAGAAACCACTCATTTATTCAGGCTTTTCCTTTAATTTGTCACCCTGCTACATCACATGCAGCTTTGTCAGAAATGAGATGTAGAGCAAAACAAAGCCCAACTGCATGCCAGAGTTGAGTGTAGATCAGCACAAACCCCGGCACGGCTTGAGTAATCTGCCCTGTTAAATATTTGGATGGCCCTCTGACTGATGGGAGTCCCAGTGTGGAGGCAGTAAATGGGAAGTGGGAGTGCTGGGAAAGGTCCTAATGTTAAGCTGCCTGCAGCACTTTGAGTGTCCTGCCCTTGTTTGCAGTTGACCCTTTTCCTGTTTTGGGAGAGCGTCATGTTACAGTTGCTATACAACACATATAATGTCAACAAGATGCATTCAAGGAAGCTGAATAAACATGACCACCAATTAGCCTCAAGAGTGAATAGTAACTTGCATGCAGTTTCACAGGGTCTTGTTGTGATGTGAAGTTGCCAGGTTTGATGCCATTGTGACTCTACAGAGACGAAAACCTAGGAGGATGGATTATTCATCAAGTAGTAGTTCCAGCACACAATTGTCTCTAAAACCACAAAGTGTTGTTTTATCATTTCTGTTCTGGGGTGAATTTGCACTTTGCACAAAGCCAGGCTAGCTGTTTCCCCCTGTTTCCAGGCTTTATGCTAAGCTAGGCTAACCAAGTTCTGACTCCAGTTCTGTAGCTACATGAGACTGATATTCAATTTTCTTCTCACTCTCAGAAAAAAAAGCTAAAAATATTATCCCAAATTACACACAGCTGTTAACACACTCAGTTCTGTATCATACAATCAAAGTTTCATAATTACAGAATATATCTGTTGAGAAGAAGCCAGAACCACAAGAAACTGGGAAAAACAATCATATCAACAAGCAGAAACATGGACATGAGACCAACAAAGCCACACCTTCATATTCAGTACAGGAGCAGACCAACACTGCTGCCTTATGACAACAACTGGAATGCAAAGTTTTTAGACAGCAATAAGTTTTATCCAGCTCGTTCCAGATCTCTTATTGAGTTTGTCTTGTTTTGTGCTGAGCTTGTTAGGAAATATGTTCATTACAAACAAATGGTTTTCTCCAGGATAAACACATTCTAATAATGACATGTATTTTTACTGACCACCAACATAGGCTTGTTTTACTATAACATATTTAATGCCTGATGGAGTTACTATAATTATTAAAAGCAGTGGAGGACAAACATCCTATAAAACACATTTTAATATAACCAACAGGTGCCTGAATCTTCCTGAGCTGCAGTCATAGCTTGTTTCCATTCTACTGTCTTTTTCGCAGCTCATTCCTTCTATCTTTGCATGGATAAACAATGTTTCAATCTAGTGAAGCTGTTTTATATGTGAAAACAGGCTTCAGATGTCACATTCCTTCAGCACTTGTCCAGGACACCTACCCAAGACCTCACACAGAACGTACCTTATAATCACCCTCTGCATTGGGAAGCATGTTACAGCCTGTCCCCATGAACAATACACTGTTTAAGGAACTGGGAAGATCATGTTCAAGCAGCTGAGTACAAAGACCATTTTTCAAATGGTCACAAACCCCCCTCAACCTCCACCTCAAACTCCAAAACGAGTACTGGTAATAGACTGCTTTTGTGTGTCCTAAGAAACCTCATTTTCATATTTTTGGGATTTTGATGTTCTAATTTCTATTGGGGTATTAAATTTTAAATAGGAAAATATATCCTAGCTCAGTTGAAAA